TTTTTTCCTTAAAGATTCTGGGGACAAATTTTCAATCCTAGAATTCTATGTCCAGCAAAACTGTTAACCAAAGATAAGTGTAGAATAAAGCATTCTTAAATGTTTCAAAAAATCTGCCCATTAGGAAACTGGGGCTCAGTGGTAGAGCTCATGCCTAGCACTCACAGGATCCTGAGGTCCATCCTCAGCACTAAAAATCAAACAAAATGAGCAATTAAGTTGGGAATAAGGAAGACACAGAAATCAGGTTACCATGGTTCCCAAGAGGAGGATTCTAGAAAGAATTTTAGAAAACCATCAGTCCTGTTCTAAAGAGAACCAAGAAAGATCCCAAGAAGGAGAAATCCAGGGGAAAATAGAGGTTTCTAGAGATGAATACTATCCTGAGAATTTGTAAAAACTTCAAAAGTGGTAAATGCAGGGGCTAGGGTTGTGGGTTAGGGGTAGAGCACTTGCCTTGCACATGTGAGGCACTGCTTTGATCCCCAGCACCACATAAAAATACTAAATAAACAAAAATAAAGGTATTCTGCCCATCTACAATTAAAAATTATTTTTAAAAAATGTGGTAGGACTAAGGTTGTGGCTCAGTGGTAGAGTGCTTGCCTGGCGTGTGTGAGGTACTAGGTTCAATTCTCAGCACCACATATAAATAAATGAACAAAGTAAAGGCCCATTTAAAAAAAATAAAGGAATCTCTTTTTTTAAAAGTGGCAAATGCAGAGAAAGGAAAACATAAGTGTCCTGCCAAGATGTTCCTTCAGCAGATGAATGGATAAACTGAGGTATGTCCAGATAATGAAATATCATACAGTTATAAAGAGAAATGAAGCTGGGCAATGTGGTGCACTTCTGTTATCCCAGTACCTCAAGAGGGTAAGGCAGGAGGATCACAAGTTCAAGGCCAGCCTCATCAATTGAGTGAGACCCTATCTCAAAATAATAGATAGATAGACAGATAGATAGATTTAAAAAAAAGGGCTTGCAATGTAGCTCAGTGGTAGAGGGCTCACCTAACATGTGTAAGGACTTGGGTTCAATCCTAAATACTACAAAAATTACATCTATATCTATATATCATGCTGGGCTGGGGATGTAGCTCAGTGGTATGGTGCTCATCTAGCAAACTGAAGACTCTGGGTCTGTTTGCTG